TTAGCTTTTTCATCTGTAAAATGGAGGTAATCGTCCTACCTCACAGGGTTGTTATGAGGCTACAATGAAATAATATTTGTGAAGCCCTTTGCAAACCTTAAAGCACCTGATAAATGATAACTATTATTGTCATCAATAACAACTCCTTGAAATCATCTCTTTCTCTACTCCAGTCTCTGAAAAGGTGATCCTGACCTTGACCAAGGCCAATTCCTCTACATAGAACATTGATTCCACTCCTTCCCATCTTTTCTGATAGATTGCACACACAATCAACCATCCCTTTTCTCTATATTTTTCAACTTCTCCCTACTTACTGGTTCCTTCCCTGCTGCAAACCAACATACCCAACTCTCTCCATTCTTAAAAAAAAAAAATCTTATTAGATCCTACCATCTCTGCTATTATTCTATATCTCTCCTCCCTTTCTTAGCCAAACTCCTAAAAAAAAAAGTCATTTATACTGGTTCCCTCCATTTTCTCTCCTCTTACAATGTTCTAAATGCTCTGCAATCTGGCTTCTGACATCACCATTAAACTGGAACTAGTCTCTCCATAGGTCCTCCTGATCTCTTAATGACCAAATTTGCCTTTTTTCTCAATCTTTGTCCTTTTTGACCTCTCGGCAGCATTTGACACTGGTGACCACCCTCTCCTCCTGAATATTCTTCCTCACTAGGTTTCTGAGGCATTGCTTTGCTCTTCATTCTCTTTCTACCTGTCCAGCACAGCTTCCTCAGTTTCCAATCCTGGATCATCACCCATGTCAGGCTGCATCCCTAGGCTCGGATCCTGGGCCTTGTCTTTTCCCCTCTATACTTCTTTAGTAGATGGCTTTAACAGCTCCCATGGTTTAATTATCATCTCTGTGCAAATAATTCTCAAATCAATCGATCAATCAATCAATCTACCCCTCTTTTCTCTCCTGAGCTGGACATTTCAAACTAGAGCTCCTAAAGGAAGATGTCTATTGCCATTGGATAATCTGCAATATTGATTCTTTAGAGAATGTGGTATTTCATGATTCATAGCTATATAGCATTACTGGAAAAATATTATTAATAGATTTTTTTGTGTGTTTGAGAAAAGCCTGGGGTCATTGAAAGTACAGAATAATTTCCTAAATTCAATCCAGTCTGCTCTCTTCCTCCTATTCAATTCAAAGCCCATTTTCTTTTCAAATAAATTGATTATAATATCTGCCCAAGATTTTCCAGCTGAAAGGGAAGGTGGCCTAGCCATTCCAGATCTTACATTTTATTATAAAGTAGCAATCATCAAAACTACTTGGTACTGGCTAAGAAATGAAGTGGTGGATCAGTGGAATAGGTTAGGTATGCAAGACACAGTAGTCAATGACTATAGTAATCTACTATGTGATAAACTCAAAGACCCCAGCTTCTGGGATAACAATTCACCATTTGACAAAAACTTCTGGGAAAACTGGAATAGAGTATGGCAGAAACTAGGCATTGACCAAAATCTCACACCATATACCAAAATAAAGTCAAAATGGGTTCATGATTTAGATATAAAGGCAGATAGTATAAGAAAACTGGGAGAGCAAGGAATAGTTTATCTATCAGATTTAGGGAGAACAGAAGAATTCATGACCAAAAAGGAGATAGAGAACATTATGAAATGCAAAATGGATAATTTTGATTACATTAAATTGAAAAGTTTTTGCACAAACAAAGCCAATACAACCAAGATTAGGAGGGAAGTAGAAAATTGGGAAAGAATTTTTACAACCAGTGTCTCTGATAAGGGCTTCATTTCTAAAATATATAGAGAATTAAGTCAAATTTATAAGAATACAAGTCATTCCCCAATTTATAAATGGTCA